ATGTTGGAATCTTATAAAGAGTTGGTATTTATGAGCCATCTGGTCCTATGAGGGAGTTCTCTTGTTTCTGGTTTGTGTTGTTCACACATTATTGAAAACATTCAAAAGTTTACAAAATTTGGAAAAAATCATGATTTAAAAAAATGGAAATGGAAAAAGTGGTAATCGAACTTGCTTGTGACCCTAGGTGTGTCGCTGATAGTATATGATAAACCACAAGTATAGAAGATCAGTTGTAGCCTTTCTCGATAAATAAGAGTGTCGAATCCAACGAGGAGTTAAAGGCAGAACAAATATTCCCTCAATTTCTATCGACCACCGATACAACTCTACGCACACTTAACGTTTGCTTTACCTAGAACAAGAATAAAACTAGAAGTACTTTGTAGGTGTGGTGCTAGAACTATTTTGTAAGAATAAAACTAGGAGTACTTAGTGAGATAATAAAAGTTAGTTTTTTAGTAAAAAGGTTTTGTCAACAAGAAGGTTATTTGTCCCTAGGAAATCGATAAGTAGACCGATAATCATTCTTTCAATTTTATATGAGGGAGAGGCATGAGCTAACGTACTTTCTCTACTTGGATCATATGCACTTATGATTGGAACTCTAGCAAGCATCTGCAACTACTAAAGATCATTAAGGTGATGAAACCCAACCATAGCATTAGGTATCAAGTCCTCTGTACTCCCATACGCAACAACCCACTTATCTGTGTTTCGGCTTCTGCCACTCCTGCAACCGACAATAAGCGAATCATGAACATATTACAACACCCTACAGCGAGGATCCCTCACGTTTGCACGACACGGAGGGCACCGTAGGACAGCACCATAAATAAAATATACACTCATACCAACCAAGATCACGATTAGCCCACATGGCAAAATGAATCTACTCAAACATCATAGGATAACCACATCTCATTGGGAAATAATATATAGTGTCGAGCATCATGTTTACGTAGAGATTAAACGAAGAGAAGGGGTGTTACACCGCTGCATAGAGGGGGAGAAAGTTGGTGTTGACGGTAGCAAGATTGTTGATGAAGATCGTCGTCACGATCCTTTCGCCGGCGGCACCCTTGCCCCACCGGAAGAGAGGGGGAGAGAGCCCCCCTCCTTCTTTTTCTTCCTTGGCCTCCCCCTATACGGGAGAAGGATTCCCCCTCTAGTGCATGGCCTCCATGGTGGCGGAGGGGCAGGAGCCCCTCCGAGATTGGATCTCACTCTCTGTTCTCTTTTGTTTCGCGCTCCCCAGATTTGGCCGAAAACCGTTTCTTAAATATCCGGAGATCTGTAAATCCGATTGCGCTGAGATTTTAAAACGATTTTTTTCTGGATATAAGCTTCCTTGTGCCCGGAGTAGAGCTCCAACCGACGTACGAGGTGAGCACAACCCACCACTGCGCACCTGGCCACTGGCGCGCGCCCTGGTGTATCTTGGGGGCTGTTGGGCCCCGTTTGCATTGATTCCAAGTCCCAAAAATCACATATATTTCAAATAAATTCTCCATAAAATTTTATCGTGTTTGAACTTTGTTTGATATGGATATTCCGTGAAACAAAAAACATGCAACAAACAGGAACTGGCACTGGGCACTGAATCAATAGGTTAGTCCAATAAATCATATAAAGTGTTGCCAAAAGTATGTGACAGTTATATAATATTGGCATGAAATAATAAAAAATTATAGATACAACGGAGACGTATCAGCATACATTGAATCTGACGTAGCTCGCAGACTATCATGGTCGCAGGTGCGTTTCTTCATAACATCGTTGTGCCGAACCGCTCACCGGCATTCTATCCACGGCAAGCAACGTACATCACTATGTCCATGCCGCAGTCCGGGCATGGAACATAAGAAGAGCGATTAGATGTTGACCATGTTCAATTAGATGTTGACCATGTTCGGTTGGGGAATCTCTTATCTGGATGTCCTACCCTGCTCTGTCATTCTCCACACATGGCTCCATCACCCTGCGACTAGTTGTACCATCCGCCGACCCAGGAGAAGCTTAGCGTATGCTCGTTTGTGAGGTACCTCCCAATTATTGAGTTTCACAAGCATATTATGTGGACATTATTTTGCTGGAACAAAACATATCATTGATCCCTAGAAAATTTATTTTTACATGAGCTATGCCTCCTCCACTAAAAGTATTCTTGGTTTCATATTCTGTTAGGAGCATATGGGGCCGTTAGGTGTTCCATATGGTAAATGTCTACTATGCTTGCAATAAAGTCATCTCTATGTTGTTGGGCGTTCCAATCGCTTGCTTCTACTGGGTGTCCGGTTGGTGAGTGAAAATGTTGGTGCTTGACACGAAGAGGATGGAGTTTTACATTGCTAACCTTCCATCTAAAGTTGGAGCTTTTAAAAAGTGGATACAACCATGATAGAGGCAGGGGAAGAGAAACTCTGGGTGTTTGTGTATGTCTGACTTTGAATTTCATACCATTAATTAGCAGAAATAATTGTGAGAGTTATGGTCAATGGCACTTGGAGAAGACCATCTCATTGGGATTTCAGTATCTTTTTGTGGGTTCAACAAAGAGGCACTTGTTCCTACGTCTTGGTGGAAGCACATCGCTTGATGCTCGTTGTTTCTCACCCGATGTCAATACATTCCAGCTTGATAGGGTGTGCACTTCAAAGACAGGCATCTATAGGTCGCGTACATATATAGCAACGTCCCACCATCATTGTTGTCCTCGCCAAAAGTGGCAAGTGCTAAACTCTCTATTTTGTCCTAGTTGTCTCCTTCCTTTGATACTTATCTCACAACTTGCCTTATTGGTTCATTATTGTGATCAGTAATTTTGACCTACATGGTTTGGTAGTTCTTACCTTTCTCGTTCTTATGGCAAAAAATCAAGCACCATAACATCATTGTGACTAGGGTGCATGATAAAATTTCACCAAAACTCAATTTGTTGGAAGCGTATAAAGGGTAGGTAGTTATGAGACATTCCTCTCACCAAAATTTCAAACGTTCACAAAATTTGAAAAAGTTCATATATTTGACAAAAGTTTACGAATTTGAAAAAACTTCACAAAATGTAAAAAAGTTCATGAATTTGTGTAAAGTTTTCCAAATTGGAAAAAGTTTTGAAATTTGAATTTTTTCATTTGTTTGATAAAAAAGGAAAATAAAAAGGCGAAGATCAAGAAAAAAATAAAAATAATAAAATCCTGAGAATACCAATCAAAATCATGCATGAAAAAACAAAAGGAAACCCGCCCAGAAAAAACGGCGGGGAAGGCTCCCAAATACTCCCTCCATCCGGAAATACTTGTCATCAAAATGAATAAAAAGGGATGTATCTAGACGTATTTTAGTTCTAGATACATCTTTTTTTATCCATTTTGATGACAAATATTTTCGGACGGAGGGAGTACTAATGAAAATAGCCCTACACGGGGGGTCATTTTGCTACGTAGTGCCGTGAGGGGTGTGCCACATGTAACAAAATGCCTATAAGTGGCCGAATCGAATTTGTTGTTAATCACCCACATATTCCGCGGCAGATAGCATTTGCGAGACAGAAGGATCGTTTGCTTGATTCGTCACTGATGTGGGCGGGCCCAATTTCTTCTTCCTTCGTTTTCTCCCATTTGCTTCTTCTTGGTTCTTTTGTTTTTTCTGGCGGTTGTTCTTTCTTTTCATATTTGAAAATATTCCGAGTACAAATATTTTTTGAAATAATTTACTTACATTTTAAGAAAATGTTTAGAGCGCACTAAAAGAATGTTTACGGAGTGTGAACAATGTGTTCACACAATTTCAAAAATGTCCTTAACATTCATATACATGTTCATGACATTTAGAAAATGATCTACTGTGCAAAAATATGTATACAAAGTGTTTTAAATATATATACAATGTACAAAAATGGTTCACGTAATTTAAATAATATTTCATAGCATTAAACCAAATGTTCATCATATTTTTAGAAAATTCGGAAAACAAATCTTTTCCGCTATTTTAAAAAATACCTATGAAATTTTATGAAAACTGTTTAACATGTTTTTGAAAAGTGTTTAACGTGTACTCCAAAACTGTTCAAGGTGTATTTAAAAAATATTTTACATGTATTTGAAAAATATTCATCATGGATTTGAGAAATATTCAAGATGTATCAAAAAAATGTTTCACATGTATATGAAAAATGTATAACATGTATTAAAAAAGTCAATATTATACACAAAAGGAGATACTGGAAACAAACAAAAATGAAAAAAACAAATGCATGGAAGCTTCTAAAACCGGTCCAAATCTGTTGCTTTCAAAAATCAATACACAAAATCTACATTAAGCCGGGGAGTGGTAATATAGCGGACGAGCTCGCGTGCTCCCCTTTATACACAAAAAGCAAATTTACCCCGTGTGCACGTCTTTTGGCGCGGCCGTTGGAGATGCTCTCAGGCTCACCTATACCGGCCGAAGCAGAACATCCAGAATTGAAGCTCTTCTCAGCCTCCAATGCCATTGCGTTGAACCCCTCCATCATCTCAAAGGAAGAGAAGACATGGCTGAAGTGAGTGTTGGCTAGAGTGACCTGAACATTAATTTGTTTGGTATCATATACTCGCAATCATTTTTATACCTTACACTTTTCATATCATTACACGGATGAGCCCTACCAACAAAAATACTAGACATACAAAGATTTGTAAAAACCTGTAAATTGTTTCCATCTAACAACCAATCACAAACCTCTTCCTCCCCCTAATTTTTAGGGGATGGGCCGCCCCGCTCACCTGTTGGCCAATGAAAACTAACCCATCCTGTAAAAGCCTGTAAAGTGTTTGTACGTGTAGCATTGCCGGCCCTACCAACCACCACTATAAATCCACAAGTATATTATATTAATCAAATGGAAAGAAATAAGTATTGCCCATACTCCCAACCCACAAGTCTACCTGTCAACAACTAATCATGCGCATGCGGCCATGGCCGGCCAGCAACGAACGAAGTAGTAATAAACTAATTAACTAGTCCTCCAGCTCGGCCTTCTTGGGCACGCCGAACCTCTTCTCGATCCGCCGGAGCTCCTCGGGGGAGAGCCCGAAGGCCCTCTCGAGGACGGCGTCCCTGATCCCGGACCCGAACACGGTGGCCGGGACGCGCACGATCCCGGGGTTCTCGCTGTTGAAGGTGCCGTAGACGGTGGCGGGCTGGTCGCCGACGTTGAGCTGGAAGTGCACCATGCCGCGGGGGAACACCATGACCTCCCCCTCCACGAGCACCTTGGCGAAGAGGCGGCCGGCGGTGTCGACGAAGCCGGCGTAGACGCGGCCGGCGAGGACGAGCGCCGTTTCGGTGGCGCGCGGGTGGTAGTGCGGCGGGTTGACGCCCCCCGCGGCCGAGAGGTCGGCGCGCGCGAAGGACATGCCGAGGGTGTGCAGGCCCGGGAACTGCGCCGGCGTGACGGACACCCCCGCGAACCCCGTGTCGGCCGAGAAGTTGCCCGCGGCGCGCACGCCTGAGAAGGCGAAGTCGCCCGCGGTGAGGTTCGCGGGGCTCCTGCACGGGTAGGAGCGGATCAGGTTGAGCTCCACCGGCCGGCCGCGCCCGGGGTCCGGCACGCAGAAGTCCTGCACGGCGTCCGGGTCGGCCGTGGCCGCCGCCGGGAGCAGCACGGCGAGCAGGAGGAGGAGAGCACGATGGTGCGTCGCCATTCTTGGCTCGTCGACCGCGTCCCCGGCCGCTCACTCACTGCTCAGCTCGGTGCACTTCACTTGTTGGCGTACTCGTTGGTCTTTGGAAGATAGCTAGCGACGGCCTGCATTGTTATCTGGGCGCTAGTGGTGTGTTTATGTACACAGCTCGCAACGCCGCGTGTATTGCAGGCCTTGCAACCTTTTTCTTTTTTGAACGGAAGCCTTTGCAGCTTCGTGGAAGCACGTAGTGGTCCGTGTAGCAGTAGGCCATGAGACCGTTATGTGGGGATAGCGATCGGTCGCCATTTCTGACCGGAAAAGTCGCTCAAAGACTTCCCAGGAAATAGTAGTACGTATTCCAAATTTCCAGGCGTCCATGAAAGGGGGCGACTGAATTTTATTTTATTTTTTATATTAGTTTCAAGCGAATCAGCTTGAGTTTGGATTGAAATCTAACGGCTAGGATTTATTCTTCATCTCCCGCTCCTACCCTTTTCGCCCTTCCCCTCCTCCTTACCCGGCCGTTGAGTCATCTATTTTGGAACGGAGGGAGTACTTCTCTGTAATCATCGACATCACACCAAGCCGCGTTGTCCCCGCCACCGGCAAGGTACTGACAAGCCCTGCCAGGCAACACCGCGGCCGGCTGTGGCGTCCTTTTTTGAGCTCGATCTGAGAGGTAGTCACCGTCCTCCCCCCACCTCACTCGCCCGCGGAACCCGTCAACCCTCTGCCACACAAGTTTCGCCCGTTCTATGGCACTCTCCTGGGTCGGCCTCGTAGTTGACATCGTGGGCAACTGCTTCACGCCGCCTTCCTCAGGAATCAACTGGCACGGCGATTTTTTACCAGTCACCATATGAGTAGCAAACACATTGACGAAATATGTAGATTCTTCAACAATCTGTCGTGTTAATGATATATTCGGGGCCAAAAGAAGTAGGAGCACGGTGCATGGTGACGATCCATCGAACGGTTTAGTGATGGTGTATATGATTCTCCATAATTAGATGAACGAAGCATGTGTGTGCATGGTGATCGAATATTAATTATTGGCATGTATGGGTGGTGAGTGGTGAGTGGGTGTGGCACTGCGAGCGTGGCTACGTGCTTGTACCTTTCCATGATCACGCTATCTCCGGGCACATGATGCTTTCGTGGCGTAGCAGGCTCTCCGTGCGGTGCGCTGCCCGCCTCCAACCGCCGGCTGCAGCCACCGGGAAGTGCCTTGCCGCCGACGCAACTCGCCCTAGCATGCATCATTGCCAGCGCAAGAACATACAGGTCGGCACAGTACGTACGTGATATTCAACAACATACAGTCATTTCCATGATTGGTACACTTACCACACGTGGAGTATACATACTTGAAAGTACTACAGTATTTTCATTCCTAAAAGTAAGGTGTATTTTGTTTCGTCAAGACATGCATTTGAGCAATGATTACTCCACAAATACAAGGTTATATGACTTGAAATTCGTGCCACTAGATTCGTGTTTAAAACTACTCCCTCCGTCCCGAAATTCTTGTCTTAGATTTGTCTAGATATGGATGTATGAAGGTACATCCGTATCTAGACAAATCTAAGACAAGAATTCTAGGACGGAGGGAGTATTTTATTATGATAGTGGTTTTGTATCACATAAATCAAATATTTAAAGAGTAATTGTTGGTCAAAGTCTTGTTTCAACGAAACGAAATACGCCTTATTTATTGGAACGAAGGGAGAAAGATGGCCGGAGCATTGAAATATATTGCCCATCTCTTTTTTTTTCATTGGTTCAGATATTGATTGGACATGATGTTGGTGCACACAATTCAATTCCATATGGTATGAGAAACAAGGTCTTGGGTTCAAGACTCAGCCGTCACCCTAGGCAGTAGGGCATTATTTTAGGGCATGTGAACGTGTTAAGTATCTACTTTTTATCTTATATTTATCCCCTTCGTTGCATAATACAAGATATTTTATACTACTTTATATGAACAAGCACAATATAAGAGTGTAGGTTTATTTCCCTTTCCTAGATCCTGGCCCAACCAGCTCCACTCATCGGGCGACGTGCGAAAAGTGGGTGAGGGGGTGGGCCTTTCTATAGTATAGTAGTGCATGAAGGCGCGTATTGCCACGCTCATCCATTTTAATAGAAAATTATAGAAATACCTATCAAAATTAATATTATACCAACATATCTACTAAGTGTGAGTGTTTGAAATTATTGTGTCATGAATATAAAGCTTCATCCGTTATACTGTTTCTTAATAGCTACAATATCATGTCTATGTTGTTGTTGGTGGGCCATGAGTGTGTCCTTGCTCGCGTGTGACATTTGTCGTGTGGGCCTTCTGTGTGTTGGTGGTGGGCCCTGTCACGCCGCAATTAGTAGTTATGTGGTGTTATCATTCGTTGGTTGTTCAAAACCATCATCTCCCTTCCCTCCCACCACCACCCGTTGGTCGTTTGAAATGGTTTTGCTATTGTTTTTTGCTCGTGGACTACACGACCGCCTATTACTTGATCCAATCCCTATAATGGCCAGCTAGTTGCTGGACCCTCATACGTAAGTCATTTTGCAGAAGCAGCAAGTCCTCCCCTTAGTGAAGAATCAAGGTCATTAATTCATAGAGGTAGAGGTATCGCCTAGTCTCTCCTCCTCACTAAATTAAAATCAAGAGCCTACTTTTGTTTGCAGTTCTTGTGTGATTGTTAATAACACTAGCTCTGCTAGTTGCAATAAGTAATGAGTAGATGATGGTATATGAGGCGGTCCTGTATTTTTGCATAACCAAAAATATAAGCAAGTAAATGAGAGTTTAGAGGTTTTATTGTCGAGAAAGTCGGTTCATAAGTTCACTAGTAGCATCTCTCATCAACACGGTGACACATAATAATAGGCATGTGCATGTGAAAGTGAATAGTCATGCAATCATGTAATATTATCTTATTTTTGCATGTTTTACCCAATTAACTATGCAACATCCGCATAGAAATCCTGAATTGTAATCCGGGCCGCAATTGGAATCCTCACCACCTTCCGATCATTACCCCATGTAAGGCTACCAAAAGTGTAATCCCCTTGTAGCTTCCACACTGGGGACAGTTTCACTCGAAACGTGCGAACCTTGTTCTTCGTATCAAACACTAGTACAGGCGGATCAACCTCCATCCTTACTCCGACAGGGCTCTGGATTTCTACATGGTACACGGAATCGACATCCCCAACGTTTGTCACCGTCCTTGATACGGTGATCGGACTCCTTAGGTTGGGAACCGAGATGGACGGTAAGTTCAGGTGGTACGCAAGTAGCATTCCTGTCGTGTTGCAGTGCACGGAGGCCCTCTTGACGATGGTGCAGCGGAAGTATTTGTCGTAATCTTGTGGATCAATGTCGTAAACCAGGCCCGGATCAGCCGCCCCACGAGGGTTGATGTTGCCGCCTCCATAGTCGAACGGGTCGGCAATCTTCCGAGGCAGCCCTTCCGCTAGTATCGGCATGCCGTGCTCATCGGTTATATGGGCTTCACCACCATGCAAAATCAACAAAAAAACAGATGAAATTATGGTTGGCGTATACCTCCACAAGTACGGAATTATTCGTGGGCATGTGCTAACTGCGTGCTTAAATTATTACCGGTAGTGACGATGGCTGATTTGATTGCAGCAGAAGACCAGTTTGGGTGTAGAGCTTTCAGCAGGGCAGCAACGCCTGCTACATGTGGGGCTGCCATCGACGTCCCGGACAAAATTGCATATGAATCTTCCTTTGCCGCCAAGATGTTGACTCCAGGTGCCGCTATGTCAGGCTGTTAAAAGATGTATCAAGGCACTGAGACGACCTGTGTTGCCACGGAGCATGTTAAGTAGAGTACATTTTAGCTTAGCGGCTGGCACGTACCTTGATAATGGCGGGGTAATCAGGCGACGGACCCCTTGAGGAGAACATCGCCACTTTTGGTGCCAGCATCTCTTTCCCCGTGACGGTGCGCGCCGGTTCGATCTTCGCCATGGGAGAGCTACTCACAAAACAAAACAAAACAAGAAAGTTCTCTCCGACGATCAGAATAGCGCTTGCATGTTACCATGGCTAAACTCAAACTCTCATTGCACAAAAATGAAACTTTTTGTGCATACCTTGCGTCGTCCATGTAGCTGGCGATTTTCTTTCCGATGTCAAGGTCCACGAGAACGCAGGCTATGCCCTGGCAGACATCTAGTGCTGTGAAGCTTAGGTCCGTGGTATACTGGGCGAAGATGACGCCAGACCCCCGGCCATCTTGAACGTACTGTGCCGCCTGCTGGAACACATCTTGATCGCTTGGCTGCATGGTGCAGAACAGGATCTTCCCTTTCACGTCCGTGCCACTGAGAATATCCATGTCACAACTAAGATACGGAAGGTAAAATTAAGTCAAGTATAGTCTTGTTTAGATCGAATTGCTATGGCTGTGAGCATCAATTGATGCAGAGGTAAAAGATTGAATTGGAATTGACAACAAAAATGATGTAAGAAGAAAAATGTGTTTTGCTTCATAGGATGGCGACAGGAGAGAATATTGAGTGCGAAAAGTCTTATCGGATTTGGAATTGGCAACGAAAATGGTACTAAAAGAAGAACTATAACTGTGTTTTTGTTAGGGTAGTGATGGGGGAAGACTGCTAATGGGGATAGCAACAGGGTGAGAATAATGAGTGCAAAAAGTTTGTCTGATTTGGACTTGCCCAGTAAAATGGTGTACTAAAAGAAGCCACGAAATACGAATAGCCTATTGTAAGCATGTTTTTGTTAGGATAGCGATGGGGAAAGAATAATAATGCTTACAAAATATAACCACGCAAAAAGGTTCGAAAACAAACAAATATATTTGATTCACTTACCTCACTGGAACCACAAGACCTTTGAAACCACTGCTGCTCATTGACGAATTCTTCCCTCGGTAATAGAGAGACTGTCCCTGCAAGAAGAAACAAAGTTTTGTTCGCTTCTTATTCTTGAGCTAGATACCAGAAAGCATAAATAAGACCCCTAAGTCAAGTAGGCCGGCCCTCAGTCACGTGTGAATAAAAACGTACCACTATCTCTTGTTTGTTTCCCAGCATGATCATCGTCGGGAACGACCGATCAATCTTGCTTGCCGCAACGGTGATAGCCCACGGCGCACCGTTCCTGACCGTCTGTGGCCTTGGCCCCTCGTTACCCCCCGCATACACGACGGTGATCCCCTTCTGGACTGCGTGCAGGACGCCGAACGAGTTCTCGTCGACACCAAAGGACATCGACAACACGTCCACTCCGTCATGGATCGCGTCGTCGATGGCCGCCAGCACGGTCGCTGTGTTCCCAAAGCCAAGGCCCCAGAAGGACTTGTACACCGCGATGCGAGCACGCGGTGCGCCTCCGCGAGCGACACCCTTGGCTAGGCCGTGGAAGCTGGCCGCCTCCACGGCCGAACCCGCCGCAGTGGACGCACAGTGTGTGCCGTGACCGTTGTGGTCCCGGGGTGAGAGCGAGTCTGTCTCGAGGAACTGGTCAGGAACTCCCGCGCTATAGAACCGTGCACCGACGATCTTGCGGCTGCAGTTTTTGCTGCCCCAGTCGTGTCCGACCTGGCACTTCCCTTTCCACCTTGATGGCACCGGCCCGTACCCTGAGTCGCTGAAGCTTCTCGACTCGGGCCAGATCCCTAATTAATTGATATGATGGCATGACGTGAAATGTTTCCATAATGGAAAAAAAAGTACAGGGTTACGAAGTCATGCGTGCAGTGCTGATTAATCAATTTAAATGCTAACCGGTGTCAATCACCCCGATGATCACGTCCTCTCCTCCAGAGTTGCTTCCGTGGAGCATATCACTGCCCATCATCTGGTGGTTGAGCCCAAGAAAGTCCCAGCTCCGTGTAGTGGTTGGCGTGTGCCTTTTACTCGGTTGGACACTGATTACTTCCGGAAACTCTACAGACAACACATCACATCACATCACATGATAGTTATTCAACATTCAACACATGCAAATTATGCAAGCAAAATTGACAGGTCAATTGGACAACGACTGCCCACCAACCTGCAAGTTGTTTTGCTTGATCTGCGGTGAGCATGGCGGCGAACCCTGAGAAGCCATGCTTGTAGTTGTACACCATGGATGCCGAAGACCCTTCCTTACTAAAATATACCAATGTTTAATTTGTTTTTCTTAACCTATAAAGGTAGACAAATTAAGGCCGTAGAGATCGCACTAACATACCTTCCGAGAAGAGTGGTGAGCAGATCATGGTGCGAGGCCACCACATCGTCGGGATGTCCATGCTTCACATGACCTAGATATGCTATGTAGAGCTAGAGACGCACGCGCACACACATGCATGCAGGCGGTTAATTAGCTTAGCCAGATCCACAGTTAACTAATCAGTTAAACTAGTACGGGTTACTACTGAAACATGTAGTATTAATTACCTTGCGAGGTCCTCCTCCGTGTGCTCTGAACGACAGCGTCCACAGGCAGAGCAGCAGCAGCACCCAGGCTATGCCCGAGCGGGAGGAGGAAGAATGGTGTAAACCCATTGCCGATGGCCTGAGCGGGAGGAGGCGCTTCATGGGCTTAGCTTATATAGATGCCGCGGTCATACTACTCTTCCTTCATGCCGTTGTTGCCGACTGGAGAGACATCCATTCTCCCACGCCGCCTGCGATCTTGACCTTCGGTCGTCTATAGTCCAGACCCAGCACGCCAATGGCTGTCCAGGCATAGCAACTAGACAAAACAATGGTAATGGTCTAGGGAAACAATTTCGATTGTGTGGATCAGTCAACGGAGAGTGAAAGGAATCCCCCCATTTTGTAAGCAAAAAATTGTGGACAAACCATGGGACGCAGGGATTTGGCTCCTGGGTCCAGCTGCTCCTGTGAATGAACGATAAAATCAAAAGGTACCAAAAAATTCAAAAAATCTGTTTCTTTTTTCATGCAAGATGCTCGAATGCGTGAGTCCTGTACCAAATTTTATGGTGTTTGGACACTTGCGTTGCACTCAACAAAAAACAAAATTTAGGCATGTGAGAAACTTTGAAAAAACGCACTGGCCAAAGCTCATTTTGTCTTTTTTGTCACGAGCTCCTCAAATGTCATTTATCCATGAGCAAAGGAGCCCGGGTTTACAGATGAATTATCGGGAAACTATGTCTCTTCTTATACTCCCCTTGTACGAGGTCATTTTTTTCATGGAATTTGTTTAATATTTTCTCTAGCGACTAATGCTCATATGAAAGCATGCATGCGGAGGATAATATAAAGTTACAACATACAACATGCGCAGAACAATAAATGGCATTGTGTAACACATGGAGAATAAAATAAGCTTAAAAGAGTGAGGATTTTCTATACCCCGTACCAGTGTACTACCTTATATTTAGACCATTCAGTTACCGTAAAGAATTTACGCGTCAAGAATTTATTCTCCATGTGTACCCCATACCTGGATATTTTGTAGGTTCATCAATAAAAGATACTACACTGGTATGCTGGTATGCACGTTCAGTGAGAGGAGACGTTCCCGTCGACTACGAGGAGCCTACGATGACTTCGTAATTTCAACATGATATGTCAGCTCAGTCTCTCGAAGATGCTCATAGGGGTAAGTTGTGCGTGTGTATGTTCATAGGCGTGAGTGTATGCACGTATATATGACCACTTGTGTCTGTACTGTGTTAAAAAATAATCGTATGTCGGCATGTGTAGAAACATGTTGATGTCACGACATTGTAGATACTCTGGCAGCGACCCTTACTCTGACTCTTTTTCTTCTGAAATTTGTTAGTTGAATCTGTTCAAAATAAATTTACATCTACTTTTAGTTTAGATGGCCGACTTATATTTATATCTTATTAAATCCAAATAGATTTTCTGGTTAACGTTTGAAAGGCTAAACTTTTATTTGAAAGTTTCAGAGTGTTTAGAGCAACTCCTATGATAGGCACTCTCCGGATGAATGAATTTCGATATGAACGAGATGCGACGTCTGACCAGCAACCAGGGGGAAATTCTGCATTTTTTTTCTCGGTACAAGCCTTCCAGATTGCTTCGTGGTTGATTGATCTGCGAGAAAGAGCCGGCGAACTGGAAGTCAGTGGCCGTAGGTCCCATCCGGCGTCCATCCCCGAGCTGATGGCTTTGGACGCGGCGACGAAGGTGCCGGGCATATGTCGAGCATATGTCGAGCTGTGGACGAATGGTGGAAATCTCCAACATGCACGTCGATTCTTCCACCTAGCTAGGCAACCGAGGAAGGAATTGTTCCCGTGGACGAGATTCTTGACGAGAAGGATGAGCCAATGGAAGTCAATGAATGAAAGATGCACGCGTAATTGCAGCTACTTGACCGTGAACGTACATACACATAAAGGTAATACTATAAGTGACAGTCATAGACACATAAAGGTAATACTATAAGTGACAGTCATAGAACTTGCATCTGATGTTTACTTTAATACTAAAAGTTGCAAAATACATCATTGCGTTCACATAACTTGCCTATGCATGTAGATACGGTCACTTCTTTCGTATTCAGTCGTATCTTGTGCTCATGTGGCGTGCCAGCATGAATACGGCGCACATTAGTGGTTGTGAGTGATGAGAAGTTAGGTGAGCCATTCATTTTCTTTCTTTTGCAAAATACACCCTCAATTTTTATTTAATTACGCACATGTCGGCACATATTGTCTTTCAAGAAAGATGAATAAAACAATAGTGCCGGGAAACTCGAACGGACGTCCTCCACACTAAAAGATAACTGCACAAGCCACTCGACCAAGAATAAATTGATTTCAAACTCACAAACGAAATGTTCTTTAATACAATGTTCGCTCAGCTCAACAAACGAATAAATGAAAACTAAAAACATGTCGTGTTACCCGCATGAATAAATCGATGTAAGAAAACTGCTTATATTTTGTAATTTTGTTGTTTGTGACGTTTAAAAAATGTTCATACGTTGTAAAAAAAGTACTTGACATTAAAAAAAATAAACCTTGTAAAAAATATTTGTGTAATTAAAGAAACGTAAGTTGCATTTTAAAATTGTTCACACATTTCAAAAAAATGTTCATGCGGGGAATAAAAATGTTCATGTGTATGTTGCTATTAATCCTGTTATATTTAAGAAAACAACGCGGGGAATAGAAAATCGCCATGACATATGCACATTATCACGGGGAGAGTGGGATCATTCTGTTTGGGCAATCAATTTATTTTTCAAATATTAAATTATTTAAATTTTAAATTTCTTTTTGTCAAATCAGCTGAACTTAATTTTCTTTTATCTAGATTTTCAAATTTAAAATTATTCGAATTAAAAAATTCCACTTAAGAAATTCACCTACATTTATTCTGCACTATATCTTCTTTTATCTTTTTTTTAATTTTAAGTATTAAAATTCCAAAATATTAGTTCAATTGTATGAAAAATTTGCATACATGTATTCTGACCAATATCATCAGACTATTATGAGCCTCGAACAGATATGCTACAACGGAAGCAGAAGAGTAGCTTCCGCTTCTGTGGAGCATGGATCAAAGTAAATTCTTGTGGCAGAATTGCCATGGTGTTGTTTTTGTGCAGAAACCAAAATTCTCGAATTGACTTGAAAATTTACGGAGATTTTTTATGGTATATATAAAAAATACCGGCGGAAAGATATATACCAGAGGGGGGCCACCCAGGAGCCACAAACTCAGGGGGGCGCGCCCTGCGAGCTTGTGGGCCCCTGGACCACCGGCAACCCTAACTCCAACTACATATATAACTATTCGCCAAGAAAAAATTAGAGAGGAGGAAGCATCACCTTTTACGATACGGAGCCGCCACCACCTCCTGTTCTTCATCGGGAGGGCTAATCTGGAGTCCGTTCGGGGCTCCGGAAGGTGGAATCCATCGCCGTCGTCATCACCAACCCATCTTCATCACCAATTTCATGATGCTCGCCGCCGGGAGTGAGTAATTCCTTCTTAGGCTTGCTAGACGGCAATGGGTTGGATGAGATTTATCATGTAATCGAGTTAGTTTTGTTAGGACCTGATCCCTAGTATGCACTATGTTCTGAGATTGATATTGCTATGACTTTGCTATGCTTAATGCTTGTCACTAGGGCCCGAGTGTCATGATTTCAGATCTGAACCTATTATGTTTTCATGAATATATGTGTGTTCTTGATCCTATCTTGCAATTTATATGCATCTATTACGTGTTATGGTCCGCATACCCCAAGGTGACAATAATTGGGATTCTTTCCGGTGATTATCGTAGTTTGAGGAGTTCATGTATTCATTAAGTGCTAATGCTTTGTTCCGGTTCTCTATTAAAAGGAGGTCTTAATATCCCTTAGTTTCCTTATGGACCCCGCTGCCACGAGAGGGTAGGACAGAAGATGTTATGCAATTTCTTTCGCCACCTAGCAATGCCAATGTTGCAAAAAGCCATAGCGTAACGCTGGCTAATGTCCTCATCGTCAGTGTCTCCATGGATGCTAATTGACAAATAGGCCATCCCCATCGCTGATACTTTGCAACATTATGCCACTCCCGCAGCACGCGTAGCCGTCGACGAGCACTGCCTCGCATCACGGGTGCCTCTCTACAGCGACAACATGTTGCATAGCAACACCGACAACACCCACGAGCATTGTGTCGCAGCACTGGCAGTTGTCAAAATGAGCGTCGCACCGTAGCGCTGACAGCCGTCGGCGAGCATTGCACCACATCGTTGGTTCGTCTCTGCAGCCACACGCGTGATGCGGCAGTGCTGCAACAACAACAAGTGCAGCATTGTCACTCTAGCAATTGCCGACAAGCGTCGCGTCGCAGCGCTGACAGCCATTGTAGAACCGATGGCCGCCGACAAGTGCCACATCGCATCGCCTGCAACACCGATGAGCGATGCATCACAACGTTGCAGCTTAGCTGCCGGTGAGACCCACGGGATGTGACACCACACACGTTGCCTTGCAGCTTCGCCCGTCGGTGCACAACACCAGGCATGTTGCATTGCAGCCAGTGGCGGAGCTACCAGCAAAAAGCTGGGCGGCCCAGGTTGCTAAACATGGCGCTAAACTTGAATTGCTGCATGCTGACTAGTCTTTTATGTATGTGGCCTGAGCAGTAGGCTTAGGTATAAATATTTTCTAGAAAAGCTGGGCGGGCCACGACCTTGTTTGGCCCTAACGTAGCTCCGCCGGTGATTGCAGCTTCCGCTGCCAACGAGGTATGCGAGTCATAGCATGTGTGTTGTATTGCATCTCCATTGTCTGTCATGATCCATGATGCAGCGGCACCAAATGCGTTGCATTGGAGCATTCCCCGCTGGCGAGATCCATGGGGTAACAACACCGGACGCCGCCCTCTACATGGTAGAGAAACACATACCTTGCATCACCGCTGATAGAGCCTTCCACAGAGCACACGCAGCGCCTCCTCGAACTCTGTTTCGCAGCATGGAAGCCCCATCCCCAAAACACCGGCTGACAGGCAGCCATCGCTGGCGTCGATGTGATGGCGGTGGGAGCACGCTGTACTTTGGCTCGCAGCAGTGGTGGTTGTTGCCATGGGGAGGGATGCGCAGTTGTCCTCTTGATTTGAAGCAAGGGTGGTCAGCCATGGAGCAAACCGTCTCTTCCCCTACCCAGAGTGGTGAAAGAGATTGATAGGAAGAGAAAGCGACAAGAAGACGACGAGCGGAATGTAGGAGAGAAAGCTGGGGAGTAGAGCAGTGGGCGGGCCCCACCTGACACATGTCGTGCGTCAGGGAGAAAATCAGCCGGCCGATATATTGAAATAAAATAACTTCAAATGTAGGTACTCCCTCCGTTCCAAAATAATTGAGGTACAATGAAGATCAATAAACTAGGATGGAGGTAGTACAACTTTATACTAAAGTTAGTAATAAGTTGAGACACGTATTTTGAGACGGAGATTCAGAGCATTAGTCAATCATTGCTGTGCGTTGGCTTGGGTGATTATATATGGCTGTTCGGAACCGGTGGCACGTCCTACAGCTTCTGCACCATTTTCCATGTTTAAGATGCGTACGCTCGTATGTGCAACTTTCCTCATCCTCCACCTCTCGTTTTCCATGCCAGTGATATGTTCCCCCTCCGGTGCCCCGCATTACCAGTCTATTTTTAGCTTTGGCGACTCCTTAGCCGACACCGGCAACGGCCCTGTCATCTTCCCACAGTTCTCCATCTTCAACCCGGTCACACGACCTCCTTATGGGAGCACCTTCTTCGGTCGCCCCAGTGGCCGAGACTGCGATGGCCGGCTCATCATCGACTTCATTGGTACGTAGGTAGAACTAATAGCATAGGCCAGTAGCTAGATTAGTTTCTCCATGCGTTTGTTGTAATTTTTCGATGTTGGGTGTAGCTGAGAACTTGGGCTTGCCATATGTGCCCGCCACCCAAGCTCACAACGGCAGCTTCCATCAAGGAGCAAACTTCGCTGTTGCCGCTGCCACCACTCTGGACGCCAGTTTCTACCACGAGAGGGATATCCCCGGTGCGCCCAGCAAGTTCCCCCTCAACACCAGCTTAGGCGTGCAGCTCGAGTGGTTCGAGTCCATGAAGCCCTCCTTGTGCCGTACAGACCGAGGTAATTTATTCATACACCGGCATCACTATCCAAGTGAACCCTTCATGAGAACTCAAATGATGATGCATGCAGAGTGCAAGGAATTCTTTGGTAGTTCCCTCTTCTTCGTGGGAGAATTCGGCGTCAACGACTATCACTTCTCGTTCCAAAAGAAAACGGTACAGGAAGTCAGGTCCTTGGTTCCAGATATCGTGGCAACCATTTCCATGGCCATCGAGGTAATTCCATCAAGCAATCATGTATAGATGTATCATATGTATGCATATATGTATGCACCAAGCTTGCATGCTAAATAGATTACTGTGACGCGTGATCAACAGAGGCTGATCACCGAGCATGGCGCGCGAAGCCTTGTGGTTCCCGGGGTGATCCCGTCAGGATGCTCACCGCCGATTCTTACCAAGTTCGCCGAGGCCTCACCAGCAGCATACGACTCCAAAACTGGTTGTCTGAAAGCTTACAACGAGCTGGGGATGCACCACAACTCGCTGCTGCAGGCTGCCTTGTCCAAACTCCAGGCCAAGCACCGGAACGTCAGGATCATCTACGCCGATTATTTCGGCCCTGTGATGGACATGGTGGTGTCGCCTCACATGTTTGGTCAGCCAACTATCGTGCATAAAATATGATATATGCCTGAAGGAATCTACTCCTATGTTAGTTAGCGCTGTGGTTGACTTTGATGGATATGCATGATTGCAGGTTTTCAAAATGTACTTTCTGTGTGCTGTGGAGGACCTGGAAGGTACATGTACAATGCATCAGTTCGATGTGGCGATGCAGCTGCAACAACATGCGTTGATCCCTCTGCTCGTCTGTACTGGGCTGGCGTCCATTTGACCGAGGCGGCTAACAGATACATTGCAGGCCGCTGGCTGAACAAGATAAACTCACTGACAAGACCCAGCAGCAAGGGTGGAAAGTGAAGAAGGTATCCTCAAAAATTAGGGACGAGGCAACTTCAGTCAGTGGGCAGCCACGAGGATACCATGTTTATCGAAAATGACGAAGTACAAGCCTATGAACGATGCGTATGTCATACCCGTTATGTGTCTGATCAGTTGTATTGTTCTTTCAAATCAATAAAACCTGATACATCGTCAATAAAATGAACATATGGAAGCTATGACATCTTTCCACAGGTACCGGGCGTGCAGACTTCGTACTCATGGAGCCAATTTTGCTATGACTTGAAAGTGTTCCTTTTGGTAGGAATATTTCTTGTTCACCCCCCTCCTTCCTCGAGCATCGTTTCTCGTTTTTGTGGGATTACTAGACACCTTGCAGGTTATTTTCTTAACCTGGAAACACAGCTGTAAGGCAAGGCCCTATTGTGTAAATTTTTACTGCAGCAGAATTATTAGATAAACAAGGAATGGAAAAAACAGAGAAAAGTATACGAAATGGATGAAAAACCAAGGTAACAAAAGTTACAATGGGTTGCACAGAGAGCAACTCAGAGTTGAGAATCAGTCCGATTCTGGAGAGGATCCACATACTTGTGATTTCTCCTGTCCCTGATTATTAGCAAATGTTTGTGATTTCAAAATCTTATCATTTCTTTGGGTCCTGATATTCTAACAACCCATATTTAAGATGTCCATGGGAATAACGCAAGGCAGTGCTTGGCAGGATAAAAGGAGTATTTAACCAAAAACTATCACAATTCGCGGAAACGTGACAGAAAACTACCACTTTACCATTTTGTCCCAAAAACTACCACTTTTTTATTAATCCGTGACAAAAAACTACCAAGTGCGAAAACTGCTCGCTTTGCCTGGGTTAAACGCGAATCTGATTGCCCGACCCCACACATAAACGGGCTAAAAATGCAAGCGGGTCCCTTGTTTTTCTTCAAAAAAGCAATCGGGTCCTCCGCCTCCTTCTCCTCCTCCGCCGCCACCCGCCACGAATCGGGGGCGCTGCCCGCCCGCCCCGCTCCGGTGCTCGCTCGGACCGCTTCTCCCCGCCTAGAATGCGCTGCTGAGCCATGATTCGGGACCCGGAGCGCTCGGCGGCGGTGAGGCGCCTCGCCTGCTGGGCCGCGCTGCTCGCCGCGGTGTTGGCCGGGCTGATTGGCGGCGGCCGCGTCTCCGCGACGGCGCTGGCGCTGCGGCGCGAGGACAACCTCACGCAGCTCCCGTACGGGGTCCGCGGAGGACCCGGAGTCGGAGCTGCCGTGCCGGGACGGCGCGGCGAGCGCGCGGACCTGCGAGGAGCTGGGCGGCGCGGGGTCCTTCGACGCGGTCTGCGTCATCGCCTCCAGCAGCACCTCCCTCTCCGGGGACGTCTGCGCGCACGGGACCGGCAGCGTGAAGGTGCGCGCCGGGGTGAGCATCGCCTGCGGTGTCCCCGGCTGCCGGCTCGTGTTCAACGTCTCCGGGAGCATCGCGGTCGGCGAGCGCGTCGAGCTCGTCGCCGGCTCCGTCGGCCTGCACGCCGCCAACGTCTCGCTGGGCAAGCGGCTGGGGAAGGAGGAGGCCGGCGACGAGGAGGAGAAGGAGGCGGAGGACCCGATTGCTTTTTTGAAGAAAAACTAGGGACCCGATTGCATTTTTAGCCCGTTTATGTGTGGGGTCGGGCAGTCAGATTCGCGTTTAACCCAGGCAAAGCGAGCAGTTTTCACACTTGGTAGTTTTTTGTCACAGATTAATAAAAAAGTGGTAGTTTTCGGAACAAAATCGTAAAGTGGTAGTTTTCTGTTACGTTTCCGCGAATTGTGGTAGTTTTTGGTTAAATACTCGGATAAAAGGCACTCATCATAGAAGTATATGTATATCTGTGCTTCTCACACAACATGGAGTTCCAGCGGCCTGGAGCAAAATTGCAGGTCCAGTGTAAGTGCATACCATAGTACTCCTCAACCACATTGCATAACGGATTTTTTTCAAAGAAGATTTTCTTACACATTATCATTGCACATCACATAATTGTAGCTTCGTAAATGAAAGGATTTCATCCAAAGAAGACATCTTGAGTTTATTCTGCCAAGCAAAATGATGCAAAAGAATACCTATTGCCTCAGTTGACTTGCAATTTTCCATATCTTGCAGGATCAGGCACCACCTGCCCCATAGCACATGAATCTATGTTGTTGTAATTTATTTTACGGAACATGTCAAATAGGTTACAAAAGCTTTTTTTTAGTGCGTGTGACATGCTTAGTTCTGTTTTTCGTTGTTTATTTGCCTCTATTGGAACTACTAAAATATAATATTCAAAGTTTCAAAAGGTGAATGTGTGCATTTATTACCCATTTCTAACCTCGTGTATTTTTTCCTTGAAAAGGAGGATGAGCCCCTGCCGCTGCACATTCTTCGTCTACTTAACCCTATAATAATTGTCCATGATTATGCGTTAGGTCGCCTTGGTTTTGGGCAATGTATTCTGTAAGTGATTTGTACTTGTAAATATATCGTGCAAGAAAATCTTGGTGTTGCAAAAACAAGGGTTGACGCTTTGTTTTTTCAATTTATCTTGATACTCTAAATTTTATCCTTGATCTTCTAATATTAATGAATTTGTTGTTGGTGCCTATGAGAACGTAAAATTTCCAGTCAAGTCCTGATGTATACTGCGAACCAACCTGTGGTTGGATGGTCAAAGGGATTGTGGTATCCCCAGTTCACCAGGGATGCCGGCTCAGTCTTTCGAAGGTGCTCATAGGGATAGGGTGTGCGTGTGTGCGTTCATAGGGGTGAGTGTATGCGCGTCTATATGAGCGCTTGAATCTGTACTGTGTTCAAAAAAGTCCTGATTTATACTTCTTTTTGTTAAGTAAAAGGAACATTTCGTGGTACTACAGATCGTGACTCAAGAGCTGACTTTCACTTATGATTTGGGGTACCCAAAATAATTTGTGTTATAAAAAAGGACAAAGACATGTTATATTGTAGTGTGAGCTACCGATGGACCTGACTTAACGCGCATTCCCAAGCTACACCGATTGGAAAATCCATATGTAATTGGTTGCTTGCCATGCTTAACTGGATTGTTTTTATAGTTAGTACAAGCAACAAAGTATGTTAATAGAGAGATAGATAGGAAGCCGTTCATTAGGACGCCGTGAGGGTTCCATCGAACATTGTGCCGCTAAGTTGACTAGGACTCTATGGCCCCGGAAGCAAATGAGCCAGCACCACTTATAGTTGGTGGATCCAGCCAGTGCAAGATGCCCTCATAGTTTAACTCCAAACTCTGCCTGGTAGACAAGTAGAGTAGAACACTTGGTAGGCATCACAGACGATCTTTATTTTTAGACCAACTTGAATATTTTATCTTCTTGTTTGCATATTTCAACGGCGTTCGTTGGAAGGAAGTTGGGACTTGGGAGTAACATACGGACCGCTATGTCTTGCCCGGCCTCCTCAATATATATTGTTGTTGTTCCCATTTGCCAGTGAAGAACTCAAGATGCACAAGCTCGTATCCATCGCTTTGCTAGTCTTTGTCTCATGGTCTACGCCGGCGGTCTCTTCCCGGTCCGGCGTCCCTTGCTATCAATCCATCTTCAGCTTCGGCGACTCCTTTGCTGACACGGGCAATAACCCTGTCGTCTTCGAATGGTACTCCATCTTCGACCCCGTCACCCGTCCTCCCTATGGCACCAGCTTTTTCGGCCGCCACACTGGTCGCAACGGGGACGGGCGACTCATCATCGACTTCATCGGTACGTGCTCACATCACTGTTCTTGAGCCGGCCCGTGCCAGCAATACAAAACGTACGTATGTGGAATCCAGCCTAGCTATAACTATAGGCTCTTTCTGGGTGCAGCTGAGAACTTGGGCCTACCATATGTCCCGCCCAACCTGGCGCACAACGGTAGCTTCCGGCGAGGCGCCAACTTTGCCGTTGGTGCCGCAACCGCAGTCGATGCTGGTTTCTTCCACGAGAGGGGTATCCCCAGTGCCACCAGCAAGTTCCCGCTGAACACCAGCTTAGGCGTGCAGCTGGAGTGGTTTGAGTCCCTGAAGCCTTCCTTATGTCGCACAGCCCGAGGTTAATTACTTTGACCATTCACTGTCATCGTTTGTTGTTAATTATCTTGTAGCTAGCTATCAATATCATTACCCAAGTATAAGAGGCTGATGAGAATTCAAATTGTACGCATGCAGAGTGTAAGAAATTCTTCGACAGATCCCTCTTCTTCGTGGGGGAGTTCGGAGTCAACGACTATCACATGTCGTTCCAACAGAGAACGGTACAGGAGGTCAGGTCCTTCGTTCCTGATGTCGTCGCGAGCATCTCGAAGGCCATCGAGGTACGTTACGTACTCCCATCAGGCTATCAAGTACTCTCTCCGTTTCAAAATAGATGACTCAACTTTGTACTAACTTTAGTAGATGCATGTACTGACTGATCGAAGCAGCATCCATGATAAACCAATTGCTTATGTGAGCAGAGGCTCATCACCATGCATGGCGCGAGGAGCCTTGTTGTCCCTGGAGTGATTCCGTCGGGATGCTCGCCGCCCATCCTGACCAGGTTCGCCGACGCCTCACCACCATCAGCATACGACTCCAGGACCGGCTGTCTCAAAGCATATAACGAGCTGGGGTTGCACCACAACTCGCTGCTGCAGGCTGAGCTAACCAAGCTTCAGGCCAAGCACTGGAACGCCAGGATCATCTACGCCGATTTCTTCGGCCCAATCATGGATATGGTGGAGTCGCCTCGCAAGTTTGGTCAGTCGCCAACTCAACCAAAAGAGAAGAATCTATATATGTTAGTTGCACATATACAAAATTTTCATTATGCATGGAAAGGTGGTTGACTCTGATGCATGGATTATCACAGGTTTTGAACAAGACGTGCTTATGGTGTGCTGTGGAGGGGCTGGACGATACAGATTAAATTCAACGGTTCCATGCGGCGATGCTGCTGCAACGACGTGCCCGGATCCATCCGCTCGCTTGTACTGGGACG